TTTTTTGTTGTTACAAGAACATGAGCATATTAATTTTTATTAATTTGGAAAATTGATACATCATTATTTTGTCATTATTATTGTTTTTTAATTTTCAGTCATGTCATATTGTTGCTAATATTGCTAGTGTGTTTTGTTTAAGCATTGCTGGTAGGGTTTTTCTGAAAAGCTCTCTTTTTGGAAGAGAAAATTCAGCTTCCATTCCAGAGAGTGAAATCCAAATAAACAAATGGTGACCAGAATTGTTGTCAGACAGCCATGCAGAACACCTATGATATTGTCTGATTCAGTGAGGGAAAAAGAGAGTGTACCATGTACTGCGAGTTTCTCAAGTTTGCTCCCACTGCTAATGATATAGCATTTTTCTGCGCATGAATTGACTCAAAGGCAGAGGACCTTGATATCAAGGAGAATGGGTTGGCACAGTTGGCTTTGGCAGGTGCTACTCAGATGTCTAAAAGTGTGGTGGTGTTTTAGAAGCACATAATGCCATGGGTATCTTTTGCAATAATTATGTATTTTGCTTTTTCTTGTCATCTCTTATCCAATTTGCCTGCCTCTCCATAATGGACATATTCTGAATGGAGATGGTAACATAAGCCTGTTCATTTTCAAACAAATGGTCCCATAGGTGAACTTTTTTCTGATTGAAAGACTCAATGTCTGTATATATTATGTATTTATTACTGACTTTAGTGAATATTAGAGATAAGATTTAAACAGTAAGCAGAAGGATTTTAAACTTAAATGTATCAGGAGTCAGTGCTCTAAATTGCAGATCTTATTAATATAGTGTGCTGTTGTATGTCAAGGGAATTAGATTACTTACTTGTAGATCACTATAATGTGCCATTGGTTAGACTTTTATGATATTTTGTTTTTTATATAACTTGCTTTAGTAATATCTTGGTGAGGTAAAACATCAGTCGGTTGTTAAAATTGGTTACCCCCCACCCCCACCCCCGACTGAGAAAGACCAGCAGTGCAGAATTTAGTTAACTCCGGTCTTTCCGAGTGGCGCTGGGCTTGTTGCGATGTCCTCTTTCATTGCAGGATGCCACCATACCGCCCACGAGGCTGTGCTGCAGACGTTTTTGGGCATGGTCATTCACTACATGCAAATGTTCGTGCTTTTGGTGGTGGTCCTGTTGATGGCCTTCTGGCTCTGTGTCACGGCGAGCCTTGTGACGCAGCTCAATGACCCCTTTTTGCCCAGGTCAGCAGTCTCTCACTGTCGACTTTTTTGGAGGGTCAGGTCTTCTAGTTAGAGTCAGAGGGAGAAGGGGACAGGGGAATGGCCAGGGTGGGAGTCAACACTGGCGCTGGGGAGGCTGTCAGATTCAGCCCCTTCATCCAACCTCTTGCCTTCATGTTGCATTGTCACCTTGCTGAGTCACCTTGGTGGATGACCCATTGTTTCATTTGTCTGTGCCTCTCTTAAAAGAAACTTCTGAGCACCTGTTGTCATGCATCATAGTGTTTTGATATTTTTATTTTTTGTGCTTGTCTCCACAGCTGTCGATCTCTTTTGCTTTGTTCTGTTCCATTTTGTTTACATTCTTGCAGACTTTGTTTGTTACAAGTTTGTCTGTGTTTATTCATCTAAATATGTAATGGGAGATTTGCTGTCCCTCTGTCTTTGGTGGTTGTCATTTTGTCATTGAGTGTCATCTTAATGGAAATGTGCTGTCTAGCAGTGTTGAGTAATAGCAAGGTTTATATTATAACAGTAGCATATATTGCTAGCCTTTTGTTGTTGAGTGGAATTTTGTTTGAAGTTCATAAAGTTCATAGAATAAATGTATTTTTACTTCAGTGGAGCCTATCATCATATTTTGATTGAATGCACAATAGAGTAATGTATCCTGTATCAAGACTTAGCTTTTTGATTACTTTTATTAAAGCAAAATGAGAATATGAAGAACCTCAGAGTTCTAGGATTTTTATTTTATTTTATTTACTTGTTTGTCTATAAATTTTTTGGCAGGCGACTCTACACAGGAGAAATATCATTTCATACCCATATGCAAATGTATTCAGGCATATTTTATACCACTTCCATTTCCATTTTCTTTCAAGGTAGTGTGAAAGTATACAAGTGTGCTGTCCTATCCTATTTCCCTTTCCAAAGCATGACATTGAATGAGTTCACCTATTTCCTCCTCATCTTCTAACTCATAAAGCCACCCAGTCTCACCTCCTCTGTTCTGTTTCTCTCAGGTGACATGACTGCCGAGGAGCTCTTCAACATGTTCTTCGGGGGCGGGTACCCTGGGGGCAACGTATACGTGCGCCGGGGAGGGCGGTGGGAGCGAGCCGGCCACGGAGGGGGAGGCCCAAGGTACCACGGGCAGCAGGGGCACCACCACCAGGCCGCACACTCAGAGCAGTCAAACCTCTCGGTGTTTCTGCAGCTGATGCCCCTCCTGCTCATCCTACTGCTGTCCTTGGCCTCGTCTCTGCTGTCGTCCGACCCCACCTACTCCCTCTCGCCCACCAG